GAACCCTGAGAGTTTCATTGCAGTTGGAAGCAATGTTTACATCTTACATCTACAGTGAGATTTTTTGTACCTCAATACCTCATATTTATCACAAGGGAAATGTTTTTGTGGATCAACTTACCTTTTATGGGTTAGATCATAGAGGTGGTTACATTTGGTTGGACTTGGAGACGATCCCCATATTCTATTGGGAGGCTCTCTTGTAGTTGTTGTGGTCTTTCTTCTTTTTAGATTTTGTTAGTTTTATTACGGGTTTCACTTTCAGTATAGTCCTCTCATTATTCTATGTTATTATTTTGTATTTTATTTATATTATTTGGTATGTTACAAATGATTGATAGACTTTGAAATATTGAGATGCCTGGGATCTACAGTGATGTAATCCATACCTAATTTTTATTTAAAATATATATTTTACATAAATATATGGGAAGGTTTGTATATAAAATCGGTTAATAAATTTTTTTCAATAATTATTTGCATATATTATTGATTCTTAATAATGATTATATAATAATAACAATTATTGTTATTATTAATTTTATTTTTATATACTATTGGGTTACTAAAGCTTATAAGAAAAAAATTTAATCATTAATAATTTCATCAAATAATTGATAATAAAAAAATTATGATCAACCTAACAGGTTATTAACTCAAATAATTTATTTTTTAAAATAAAAGTCAAATAATTTAATTTATTGATTTAAATTAAAATAAATAACCAATTCATTATTTTAATGTATGTTAAAATTATTTTAATTATATACTATTTAATACTGGTTTTTTACAAAAACAAATTAATCTATTAATGAATAATGTAAATAATTTTTTTAAAAATTAATTAGTCAAACAAATCATTAATGCAAATTGTTCAATTATTTAATTTAAGTTAAAAATTCATTAATTGATTTAAATATAACATAACAAAATTATAATTATATCTATTTTACTACCCTAAATCCTTATTATAATATCCAAATAACTAATTTATCATAATTAAAAATTATTTTTATTTTGGTTAAAATCAATAAATATATCTTAAATTTCTTTTTTTTTTCTTTTCAAAAACCACTCCTAAATAAATATCCATGGGAAGTGAACAATGTAAAATTTGTATAGTATTTGCGTTCCAGGAGAAAATAAAATGAAACTATTTGTATTTTATAAGACATAAATTAAATGAATTCACTTGTTGAAATAAAAAAAATGCATTTAATAATGGTATTTTGTAAAAAAAAATAATGTTTGAGATATAATAGATTGAATAAAAAAAAGATCAAACCAATTTGAAAATTTGGATCTTATAATAAAGATTAGAGTTAGTCCTATTTATGATAGAAAAAGAAATTACTACTAAAAAAATGTCATTTTTTTTGCAAATTTTTCTAAAAAAAACATATTCATAGATTTTTTTTATGGATTTTCTTGCAATAATAATTTTACAAATTTTTTTTTATAAATTTATTTGCAAAAAATAATTTACAGAAATTTCTTACAAGTTTTGTTTGTGAAAAGTAATCTACAAAATTTTTTGCAAATTTTGCTACAATTTTAAAGATCATAGAATTTTTTTATGGTAAAAATTTGCAGAAAATTTTGTAAGAATTTTATTTTGTTTCTTGCTGATTTTTTTTGTAATAATAAATTCATAAATAATATTTACTAAATGATAGAAAAATTTCTTTCTTGCGGATTTTCCTTTCAATTTTAATTCCCAAAAAATTAAAAAAAAACTGTTTAAATTTATAATTAGTTTAATAATTAAAAAATGTTATTTTACTAAATTATTTATAAATATCATTATAATTAATTTTAATTTTAATTTTAATTAAATTAAATATATAAATTTTATAAATATGATAAATTAATGATAATTAGTTTTGATTTAATGAAAATTATAAAATTTTAAAATTAAAAGTTTTACTTAATAAAATATTATTTTACTAAATTATTTATAAATATTTCATAAAAA